TCATCAATGCCAAAATACCCTAATTTGTAAATTAAGCATTTGAGGGGTACTGTATAAATGCCTTAGAGAAATCAGGATACACTACATTCACAGGCCTTCCTCTATCCAAATTACAGCTCACATCCTAATAGAATGTTAAAAAGATTGGTCTGGCAAGGACAGTTCTTCATAAATCCTTGTGGTTACAACTAATGATACTATTCCAATCTGCACATTTTTTGATATGGCCCCTTATTATTTCTTCCAATCGTTTACATACTATTAATTTTAGGCTGACTAGTCAGTAATTTCCTGGTATATATCTCGGTCCTTTTTTGAACATTGCTTTCAACAATCAGTTGGTATCATTACAGTAAGTAAGTAAGCTGTCCTTAAAAATTAGAAAGTGTTCTTCAACAACAGTTTTCTTGAAAAGCAGCCTTCAGCCTTGAAAAACTTTCATTCTTAAAATTAAATGTTTTAACTTTCCAGGGATTGTTGCTTACAGCTTACATGAAATAAAATCATGTTATGGTCACTTCTATCCAGATGTTGTTTTATATGAACATTAGCAATAAGCTCCATATGGTTTAAGATTACCAGATCCAGCAGCGCATAATTTCCAGTTGGGGCTTATATAAACTGTATCATAAACTTATTTTGGATTTTATTTTGTCTATATGATTGGTCACAGTGATCACATGGCACAGGGCCAGTCACAGCAGCTCTATACCATATGAGAGCTGTAGCCAATCACAGCAATCACAATAGTAAAAATGAATCATGAATGAAAGTAATTCATGACAAGTAAACCAAATGCTTTTACAGTGATCATCATTGTAATAAGCAATAATACTGTAAAAAAAAAAAAATACTGCTCAACTCCTCAAGAGTAGTGAAGTTTCATTATGGTGACTACTCTGGTGATAGTATGTAAAAAAAGTTTTTGCTTTATGGCATTGTGCTATTTCAACTGGTAATTGTGCGGTCATGCAATGCTGTACCCAAACTAAATGTATGTCCTTTTTCACACAAATAGAGCTTTCTTGTAGTGGTATTTGATCACCTCTGGGTTTTTTATTTTTTGAGCTATAAACAAAAAAAGACCAAAACTGTGGAAAAAAACCCCAATATTTTCTCATTTCTGTCATAACAAATATCCAATAAACTCAAATTTCATCATAAATTTAGGCCAAAATGTATTTTGCTATATGTCTTTGGTAAAAAAAAAATTCCAATAGGTGTATATTAATTGGTTTGTGTGAAAGGTATAACGTCTTCAAATGGCGGTATAGATATTGGAATTTCCGCCATTTTTTGCTATATGGCGCTGCACTAGTTTAACCTCCCTGGAGGTATCCCCGAGTGTAGCTCGGGGTAATGTTTCAGCACCACAAGCGGTAACCCTAAGCTACACTCGGGAATATTCTGCAGCGTTGCTCCGGGATCCCTTCTGCAGTTACCTTGTACTGCACTCCCGTGATGTCCTCCCTGCAGCGTCCCCGGCAATGTCCTCCGGCCGATGCCGACATCTGTCTTCCGGGTTCTGTTCCCTGCGAAATCAGGATGTATGGGGACGACGGAACTGGTGGGGAAATTTAAAAATGTCAAAAAGTGACATTCACTCAATACACTAAAATCTCATAGTAAAACATTACTGTATCAAAGCATTTCACATACATTTTGTCCCGAGTGCTTTGTCCTGTGCCCTGCCTACGTTTTTACTGTTCTTTCTGCCTGGAAACTGAGAAATGTCAGTGAATTGCTACCTAAGGTCTGAGAGAGATCTGTGCCACACATTGGCACCTCCTGACTGATGATGATGCAATCAAAAAGTTAGTGTCAAATCACCCACAATTAATTTACAGGAAGGCCCCATCATTGGGTAATCTACTTATTCACAGGGAAATCTCCTGGTGCCCCCCCTTCCCGTGTTGGCATAGGGTTATGAAGAGATGTGGCGCTTGTGATTATTGTGGACACATAATTGAAAGTGACACCATCACTCTATCCAACAGAAAAATCCTTAACCGTAAATAACAAGCAGACTGTAATACAACAGGTGTAATTTATGTGCTCACACATGTGTATGTGGGGCATATTATACAGGGAAGATAGTTCTAACAGTTTGTAGAAGGTTCTAAGACCATATATATGAAATTTCTACTTATAATTTGAACGTGCCTGTAGCAAGACACGTATGATGTTTAAATCATGATAGAGATATTATAGTGTTGAAATGCTGGGTATTAGAGGTTGTAAAGCCTAATCTCAGAGAAGTGAACATTGACCAAATTATTTTACAAAGAAAACCTTTGAAGCAGCCGGTGGGACAGGCAAAACTGGTCAGGTTTCCAGCCTTTTTCCAATTTTGCAATTCATTGGGATGCCTCTCTCTCCCTACCTCCTCCATGTGATCATGGGAATCTGATCATGGGGTGCTACATCTATGAAGCACTACAATTATGGAGCACAGCCTTGGATGCCCTGAGGCCGTACTGGATGGCTTAGTATCAATGTCTGGACACTTATTATTTGGATTTACTTTGGTGCCTAATTGCCTATAGAGTCTTCCAGCACCCCAAGCTAGCTGGTGGCTCCCTAGACTGGCAAATCAACTCACATAAGGATTCTATTATTAGCATGACAAATCTATAATAAGATGGAAAGATACACAGTCCAATTTCTTTTGGAGTCTTCTGACATTCTCAACAAGCTGGTGGATCCCTTGTTCAGCTCTCTGCACAGATCAAAAGGGCTGCAAGAGCTGGGGCAGTGATAATAATGGGGGATTTTAACTACCCCAAAATTGACTGTAGTAATGGCACTGCAGAAACAGTTAAAGGGCAAAAATTTATAAACCTACTACAGGTACAGTTCATAGAGGCCCCAACTAGGAATGATGCTCTGCTGGACCTGGTAATCTCAAACCATGCAGAGTTTATTACTAATCTCCATATAAAAGAACATCTGGGTATTAGCGACCATAACATAATTTCATTTATTGTTAGCTGCAAACATCAAGCACATAAGGAAAAAATAAAAACACTCAACTTTAAGAGACTGGGAGGGAATATTGGCATGAACACAACACAGAAATGGGAGTTCTTCAAAAAGACTGTATATGAACACACTGCAAAATATATTCCCATGGGCAACAAGTTTAAAAGGCTAAAAATGAAACCAATGTGGCTATAAATAATAAGAAAAGAGCTTTTAAAAAATATATAAATGAATGAACGCTATCCTTGTTTAACCATTACAAAGAATATAACTGATTATGTAAAAAGGAAATCAAGGCCGCAAAAATTGAAAAGGAAAAACAGATTGCAAAAGATAGCAGGACAAACCCCAAAACACTCTTCAAATATATTAATAGTAAAAAGGTCCGGTCCGAGCATGTAGGCCCTTTACAAAATAATCTAGAATGGGTGACTGGGAACAAACAGAAGGCAAAATTTTATAAAAACCTCCTTCAGCTCTGTGTATACAAAGGAGCATAGGGGAGCTCTTGTCAATAATGGGCATGGTACTGATCCAGGCTCAGATAATCCACAACTCAATCACAACTGATATGATCCAGAAATATTTAGACAGTATAAAGGTGAAAAAAGCTTCTGAACCAGATGGCATACACTCACGGGTCCTTAAAGAATTGAACTCTGTCATTTCAAAGCTATTGTTTCTTATTTTTTGGGACGCTTTAATGACTGGCATAGTACTACTGGATTCGAGTAAGACCAATGTGGTGCCTATATTTAAAAGAAGGGTCAAAATCTTTACCAAGTAATTCTGGACCTGCTAGTTTAACGTCCATAGTGGGAATACTGGAGAGTTTAATAAAAGACCACATGGATGAGTTCTTGCTTGAAAAAAATATTTTAAGCAACAGACAGCATGGATACATGAAAGACAGAAGTTGTCAAACAAATCTGATTTCTTTTTATGAGGAGGTGAGCAAAACCTTGGACAGAGGGGGGTGGCGGTGAACATGGTATACTTGGATTTTGCAAAAACATTTGACACAGTTCCCCACACACGGCTAATGTGTAAGGTAAAGTCTACAGGCTTGGAAAAATCCATATGTAAATGAACAGAAAACTGGCTAAAAGACCAAATTCAGAGAGTAGAGGTTAATGATTCATACTCTGAATGGTCTAGGGTTGTCAGTGGTGTACCCCAAGGTTCATTGTTGGGACCCTTACTTTTTAATATGTTTATAAATGATATAGGGTCTGGGATTGAAAATACCGTTTCAGTCTTTGCAGATGACACTAAGCTATGCAGTAGAATAATGTCCTTACAGAATGTCTCCAACGTACAAGTTAACTTCAATGAACTGTTTAATTAGGCAACTATGTGGCAAATGAGATTTAAAGGATACGTTCACCTTTTAGACAAAAATAATAAATGCATATTTTTTTGCAGGTTAAAAAATGTTCATTTATTATTTTTGTCTACAGGAGCCTGGAAAGCATTGCACCAGCAATCAGTAGATTGCTGATGCCATGCAGGTCTCCTGCAGACCTGTCAGAATATATGCTTGCTGTATGGGATGTACGAGTAAGCAGATATTCTGACAGGAAGCTTCGCTGCTCCACGGTAATTCCGTGGACGTTTGTGAGTGAATGACACAGCAGTGTGGGTAGAGCCCCACATGGCCTCGCTGTTTTCAAATTTAACAGTTAGTACAGGGAGACTTCTCCCCATACTATCTGTCAGAGGGGGGGGGGGGTGGTGGTGGGCGGCGGCTGCGGATATGGGAACATGTTACATGTTCCACCTTTAAAAATGGGTGGAACATGTAACATGTTCCCAAAGGTGAACTTATCCTTTAATGTTGATAAATGTAAAGTTATGCACTTGGGGGCTAAGAATATGCATGCATCATACAAATTAGGGGGAGTACAACTGGGGGAATCAATGGTGGAGAATGATCTGGGGGCTCTCGTAGATCATAAGCCCAATAAAGCCTAATAACCCAAGCTACGGTTTCTAAAGTGAGCAAAATCCTTCCTTGTATTAAACTACGTGGAGGTATTCCCAAGTGTAGCTCGGGGTGAAGTTTCAGCACCACAAGCGGTAACCCCTAGCTACACTCGGGAATACCCTGCAACGCTGCTCCGGGATCTCTTCTACACTTACCTTATCCTGCGCTCCCGCGATGTCCCTCCTGCAGTGTCCCCAGCAATGTCCTACGGCCGATGCAGGCACCTGCATTTTTACCGTTCTTTCTGCCTTGAAACAGAGAAAAGTCCATGGCGTCCAAAAAGAGTCCCTTTAGGTCAAAAGCGGTTTTAGACCAGCTAGAGAACAGCAATAGTAAATTAGGACTACTTGCAGAATTGAGTGATAATGATTCGTGGAAAATTCGTCATCAGACACTGAAAACGATTTTGCGACTTTGTTCAGTGATGTGCGAACTTGGTGCTATATTTCAAATTTTAGTGTTTTTGGTTTGATTATATTATTGAATTAAATTTCTTATTATTATATTATTTATTTTTTATGATTATTTATTATATTATAATTTATGATTTTGTGTTTCAAATTTTAACATATGCGGGATGTTTACTAGACTCTTGTTCGGACAGATTTCAGTGAGTTGTTCCTAAAAATATGTAAAAAAGACAAAACCTCAGCGCCCAGGACTCTCCTATTAGACACACAATTCCCCGTGAGATGCTGCTGTACACAGGTGCAAAAACCAAAAAAAACTTATATCAATAAAAACCAGCGCAAACCCACATAATCAATTGCATTACTCAACTTATTAAACCAACTTAAAGACCGTGACAAAAAAACTTTTGTGCTAATAAGGATTAAAATATAATATATATATAAATAAATATAAAAAATTAATATAAAAAAATTAAAATTCATAAGTCCAGTGACACAAAAATCCCAAAAAATTAATAAATTAGTTGACAGTCCCGTGACAAAATAAATCAAATTATAAAAAAAAAATTTTTCATTGGATTCTTCCGTGCCTTTGATCCCTTCACCATCCACCAGTGCAAAAACCAACATTAACCGCACTCACCAGATATTAGTGAGTCACACGCCTTTCAGGAATATTAAGGGCTCCTGGACCCCCTTTACTTTTTATGAGACCTCCAAACGCTGCTTCCTCTTATGTCTGGGTACCTCTTCTGCTTACTCCTCTCACCGAATCCCCCAAGGAAAATCAGGAAGAAGAAAAGACCATAGCGTGATACCGTAGTGGTTTCTCCTCTAAAAATAATCTCTCCAGACCACTTACATTTTAGCGGGATGTAACCCGCATTTTATTTGAAACAACAATGATTTTCCTTCAAAATGATCCACTTTCCAAGTACAGCGACTTTGCATGAAGACCCCACAGCCTAGTATACAGCAGGATGGCAGACCTCAGATGCAAACTCATCCACTATGCTAAGATGGCCCCTTTGGAACGCACCGCTCAGCGTGCGTTCCACTCACCGGAAATGACGTCAGACGCCGGAACAGGCAACCGGAAGTGCGTCAACGCGATTCGCCCCACCCCATAAGGTTAAAGACAGAAAATTACAATACATTAAAATAAAATTCTATATAAAAATAAAAATATAAATAAAATAAACTAAAATAAAATAAAAATAAAGATAATAATAATAATAAAAAAAAAATAAAAATAAGTAATAAATGTATTGTAATTTTCTGTCTTTAACCTTATGCTTGGGGGGGGTAGAAGATTTAAGGTTATAAAATTAGGTTTTTAAATGAGGTTTTTTTTTTGAATTTTTTTGAATTTTAATGTATCTAATTTAATGGCATCTGTTTTTGGTGTAAGGGGACCCCACATGGGTATACAGAGGGATGGCGGTGATGGACATGTTTGTGTCCAGGTTTGTGTCCAGATTAATTAGTGGGAGGGATCTCCCATTGCTTTATAAGCGGCTTGGAAGTGGAGATGAGCGTCTTGATAACGCCCTGTGGGTGGGGCGAAACGCGTTGACGCACTTCCGGTTGCCTGTTCCGGCGTCTGACGTCATTTCCGGTGAGTGGAACGCACGCTGAGCGGTGCGTTCCAAAGGGGCCATCTTAGCATAGTGGATGAGTTTGCATCTGAGGTCTGCCATCCTGCTGTATACTAGGCTGTGGGGTCTTCATGCAAAGTCGCTGTACTTGGAAAGTGGATCATTTTGAAGGAAAATCATTGTTGTTTCAAATAAAATGCGGGTTACATCCCGCTAAAATGTGAGTGGTCTGGAGAGATTATTTAGAGGAGAAACCACTACGGTATCACGCTATGGTCTTTTCTTCTTCCTGATTTTCCTTGGGGGATTCGGTGAGAGGAGTAAGCAGAAGAGGTACCCAGACAAGATGGTTGTAGGAACACGTGACGTCAGACGCATCGACGTTGACAGGAAGTGCGATCGCGGCCATCTTGGAAGTGGGAACATGTGGCCAGTGTTCCCTAGTCTGTTTGCATGTACATCTCGATGAGGAGGAGCTGCCTTACTCTTACTATAATGTAAATTATGGAATAAAGGTTGTCATTTATTGAATCTACCATATGTAATTTCGATTTTCTTATGAGGAGAATGGAAGATAAATCACTGTATTGGATCTAAATACTGGATGGAATTCTACAGCTAAGGAGATTTGTATCAAGCCCTATTTTTGGATATATAGGGTAATTATCCATCTAGCACATGAGTTGGAGATCATTTTTTGGTTGGGGATGTGTGTAGGATCACTGATACATTAAGTGTGGTGTTACAAAGTTGCAGTGTTGCAAGTTTCACAGATTCACATAGTGGATGTGATATGTGTATGTCTCACTGGTTATATATTTGGTGACACAGAAATATATGTGTATATGTTGGTATTCACATAGAGAGTACATTTTTTTTGTTTTTTTGTTTTTGAGTGTTTCACGAGTATTGCATGACGCACTGTTAAGGGCACGTATGCTTTTATTACCAAAAAGGTATGACACTATGTTAAGTTTTTTCTTTTTGAGGTATATGGGCATCAGAATTTGCGGGTGTTGAGAAAAAGAATTTTTCGTGGAAAAGAAGAAAACAAGAGACTTTATTGAACACTTGTTTATATGAGTGGGGTTTGCCTTGATATTTGGGATATTTATATGGTGTTATTTAAAAGAAAAGTCTTTATATATTATTTTTAACCTTCAAGGGTGGAGGTGGATTACTTTTCTGGGTATCTGTTTCGGTGTGTGCTTTGCATTTGAGAAATATACATTTTATATTTGTTGCTAAAATCTGCCTGCTCTCTCAACCAGAAAAAGGTAGTCTATTCAAAAAGGCTTAGAAGATGTGCTTGAAATTGCTTATATTTTCTTGTTTTAAATTTTAAAATAAAAGCTGAATAAATGTGTTTTTCATACAGCAAGACACTAGTTTGTTTATATGACATGCAATCTGCATGCTCTGTTCATCAGAAATTTTAGTCTATCAAATAAAAGCTTCAAAGATTTGCTGCAAATCTGTGCATTTTTTCTTTTAAATTTAAAACAAACAGACACTATTTTTTCATTCCACATGCAATATGCCTGCTCAGTCTCTAAGAAATTGAGGCCTGACCAAAAGGGACTAATAGCTGTTGTGAAAAAATTGTAAAATCTCCATACAGGCTAAAGATCTGTGATGCAAATCTACTATTTATCGATCTTATACAAAACATTTGTGCACTCCCTAAACCACCTCCTAACATGAACACACGTACACACACGCACATCTTTTCTTTAAATCCATAATATTTAAATTATCAATCAAGGCATTAAGGATACATAATATCTATAACTATTGATTAAATAAATTGATTTTATTCATACTGTATATAAGATAAAAAAATATGTACTATTAATTGTATGTTATACCGTATACTGTAGATGTGGGATTAATTATATTACTTACTCATATTCCTTATTTTTCTGCAATGCATTTCTATATACCAATGGCAAATATATCTTCAAAATATATAATTAAATATATATACTCCTACAAGGTCATCCAAAGTTTATATGGAACCTGTGCACCTTTTAGCTAATTAAGCATATCATAGCCATATCCCTATTCACTAAAGATATAAGTTGTAAAAAGGCTTTAAATCATTTTTGTGAAGGCTATGTTCCCAATTAGTAAATTCTTTTTCTCTAAAAATCTGCCATGAAGCAGATGGTTCATCTAAAGGTTAACTGTTGAATTTGAGATGTTCAGCGAAACTAAAATAACGTAACTTGTCTATTACCTATAATAATAATAATATTATACACTTGCTCATTAATATCAATATTATAAGTTAAAGTGACAAAAAACAATATCCTTAATCTCCAAAAAATAGTGCAAGCAGTACAATAAGACAGGTAGGACTCCCGGTTGGATCAATAGATTTTAGAAGTTGCTCAAGTAGGCCTTGACTTCAGGATATGCTTTAGGCAATCTTAAAATATTAAGAAGGAACTGCAACTCAGATGGCATTTTTTCCAAGCAGGTCAAGATATCTAGATATCTTTAGATATGCAGCCATGATCCTGGTATTACAGCTTCCTGACAAAGACACATACTGTATATATGTATGAAAATGTAGGGAGGAATTGAATAGGTTGAGCAGTTTTTAATAATTCGTCTGAAATGTAAATTAATAATATCATCCTTGCATATTTATGCAGACTATTTAAGCTCCTATAATTGCTTGAATAAACAGACCTTATAATTGTGTATAGACATTCCTGTCCTCTCTACTTCTCTGCTTCACTGTGATCAACTCCCAAGATAAGAATGAATGTATAGGAAACATTATACATGGTTAACCACCTGAGTCCAAGACACGATTTTAAAATGGCTCTGGGAGAGTGACTATTCAACTCAGCGCCTATTTAGCAGTGGGAATTAGCAGCTCTTACTGGTTCTGACAGAGGATCAGGATAGTACTGCAGGCTGTGGCTTTTGGGCTTGCGATGCTTCAACCGATCACTCCATAGAAGCACACTATACGTAAACACTATGCTTCAAGTGACATCTTAATGCTCCCTTTCAGTAGGCTCCTGCTGCATCTCTAAGTTTTCCCTACAACGGTAGATCATTGCTATAATGGTTGCAGCCAGCAATTAGTCACTATCCAGTGATCTCCTAAAAGGCTTCAACCATGATGATGCA